TTGAGGAAGACTGAAATTGTAATTTGTATAAGAGACTTTTTAAAACATTTTTATGATGCAACTAATGAATTATTGTGTATTTATTATCCAACTAGTTGTAATTTACCTTATCAATTAATGGTGGTTAGTGATTGTTTTGCAAAATATATAAATAATCCACAATTTAAAAGTATTGTCGAAATAATGAAAAAATTAAAATATATATATATATATATATATATATATATTGGGAGAACATTTCTCCTATTTATTGTTTAGCTACAATATTAGATCCTAGGATGAGGAAAGATGGTTTAGATATTTTACTTATAACATATTGTGAAAATACGAATATTGAAATCAGAAATAAAAAGAAACATTTTTATTTCTGAAGTAATAGTAAATAATTCTACAAGTTGTACAGTTGCATCTTCCACTTCTGAACTTGAGCACAGTAGTAGAAGAAAAAAACATTTTTATTTAATAAGTAAAAGGTAGAAATCAGCTACCTCAACAACAAGTTCATTTATTGAACTTAATTTTTATTTACAAGCAAATTTTTCTACTTTAAATGATGGAACAAATAATTTTGATATTTTAGCTTGGTGGAGTGAACATTCAAAAAATTATCCAGTTCTCATTGCCATGGCACGTGATCTACTAACCCCTCCGATGTTTATAGTTCCATCGAAGTCTTGTTTTAGTGCAGATAATAAGGTGTTAGACGACAAGAGAAGTTGTATGAATGATGAAAGTCTAGAGATGTGCATCTACTTTAAAGATTGGTTGGATGCTGAAAACAAATTATAAAGACAAAGGAGGGCATGACACTACACCCAATATTTCACCTGAAGCAGATGATGAAAGTCATGAACAATAGGAGAAAATCAGAAAATGATGAAGTCAATATTTTTTGTATACTCACTCAATAGTTGTATAGCATTTTTTCAAATTATTGTAAATTTTGTTTTAATTTTATTTAATTTATTTTCTATTTTTTAACAATATAATTTTGTATTTTTAATTTGTAACTATATTGTATTTTTTATATTTTATTAATTTATTCCATTTTCTAATATTCATATTTCATTCATCCAAGTATCCAACCATTGTATGCTTTGTGATTTGTATCATTCAAATTTAAATGAAATAAAATTCCTATTTTTCTTCAAATTTGTTATTCCATTCTTACTTGGTTAAGTATTTGTTTTCATTTATTTGTTAGATTTCTTATTTCTTATTTTTTCAATAGTTCTCAAAAGAAAGTTAAATATTTTAGTTTTACTTAACAAAAAAATAAAAATATCAAAAATATAAAAAAAAAAGTAAAAAATCAATCTGACCCGGTTCGGCCTACACCCAAGGCCTAGCCTATGGCCCAACCCGACACAGCCCAGGCCCACGGCATGGCCTACAACCCGCCTGGCCCAAGCCCGCGGCACGGCACAGGCCCGCACAGGCTTGGGCCGTGGGCCATGGCTTTTTGATCTTTTCTTTTTTAAATTTTAAGGGGGGTTACAGTTTCTGGCTGATTATATGATAGTTAGCTATTCAACTGTTTGCTTCGCTTGAACCCTGAAACAGCTTCCTGAAAATGTAACAAGAACATGTTGCATTTCTAATCTTCTCTCTTCTCACTTATTTTAGACCACCTTTTGAAATCCCATGGCATCTTAGGTTTTTGATTAAAAGAAAAAAAAAAGACTTTAAACCACCTTTTGAGATTCAAAAATGGTATGATATCCCAACATTTATACATTTGGAATAAATTCAACTTTGCCGAATACATATTCCGGTGGTCGGCCGACTCGATTTGTGACCCTATATTGATATTATCATCTAAATAAGAGCATCGGTATTATTTTCATCTTCCCTTGTTTTCAAGGCAAAATGTAATTAGCAAAGACATCAGCATCATGGAAATTTCATACTTCATTCTATTCTTTTTCTTGTTTTTTCCCCTTTAGGCTGCACTTTGACTAAACTAGCAAGTACAAATTTCCTCCCATTTAGTATAAAAATGTCACCATTCAGTACACAGGACAGGACAGTGGTGGGTCATGATATTATTTTCCATTTTCTTATTCTAATTTGGTTCCTAGACTCAAGCTTGTAACACTCACTGGCCAGATTTCTCATGTTGTGACAATGATACATAGAGTTCAATGCCAAATTAATTACCTAGAAATGTTGTAATTCAGTCTTTTCTCTTGAATAATATACTAAACAATTAATTAAGATTCAAAACTGTGTCACTCTGAATAATTTTGAAACATTTCTCTGAAAATCTCCAAGTTATTAATGCTTATGATAATGATTGATACACTCTTTAATATATTTTATTAATGATTGTAGAATTTCTTTAATTACCTTTTGGTTTTAATTAATGATTTTATAATTTATACTTGGCGTCTACGGAAAGAATAGTACATAGCTAAGGCAAATTCCGAGTTTCATGCAAGTACAAAGAAATATTAACACAGAATATTGTATAAAATAACTACAATGTTTCAGTAAAAGTCTAATCCAACTTGCTAATATAAATAAATAACTTAAATTTTGTAAAATAAAACCCTATTTAATCCTTACTAATAGAAACTTTTGATGATGCACCGGAAAACCAAATACTGGGAAACAATATAAAAGTGAAATAAAACTTCAAGAGAACAAATTTATACAAAGAAATAAGCTATTCATAAAAGAAAAGTAAAGAAAAAAGCTGCTACATAAAAAAAAAATCTAATCATAAATATCTATTACGTAGAATTAATGAATCATCTTGATTGGAAAATTCTTCGGATATCTAATTAATAATTTAAAGTTTAGATATAATAAATATCTAATTAACTTCAACTTCATATAAGTTCAAATCGTGTATTGCACGACTCAAAGGGCCGATATTTTTAAGGCTGTAAATGGATTAGATTTGGATCATATTCAGTAAAATCCAAATATAACCCAATCATTGAAAACTTGCATCGATTGGATTTTGAATTTGAATCCTAACATATTTGGACCTTATTCGGATTTAATCTAATTTTGTTTTAATTTTTTAAAATATAAAAAATAAAAAAAGTTAATTATTTTTCAATTTCTATATATAATAAATTAATGTAAATATAACATATTGAATTTATTATATATAAATTCATATATAATATAATATCTAAAAATATATTTTTTTATAATTTTAAATATAATTAAATAAATTTTATAATATAATCAGGTTTGAATTTTAATTGGATCAGATAGAATCAAAATTGAATCCAATCCGATTATTAATCGGATGCAAATTGCAAACAATTTGATTACATAAACCCATCATTTGAATCCAAGATGATCCCATCAGATGTTGGATCAAGTTGTGGACTTTAGGGTAGAGTTAGCAGGCCTAGGTACTCTTAGGCCCCCCTTCCCTNGGGAAGTTGGTCAATGGGAAAGTTTTTGGTAACTTGTGTGTAGAAAAGTTTTGACCACCTGGGGGTTAGGTAAATTACTTATTTATGAAGTGGGGAAATTGGCCAAAGTATGTAATACTAAAATGTCCATGTCAGAACAAAAGTGAATTAGGAACCGTTTAGGAAATTCACTCATTTACACATTTGGCAAACACAACATGGGTAATTACATTTTTCTGGGTAACACTTACCCGGGTTATATTTTTCTAAGTAATACTACCCAGTTCAATGCATTCAAGGTTCAAAGTATCAATATGATATGCACTGTATCAGGTGAATCATATCTTTTGGTCCCCGGTAGAGTTAGGGCATCTGTAATAAGAGGATTAACCTCCAAAAGTTGTCACATGTCCTAACTCCTAATATTTAACGTATCAATGGATTAAAAAACCATATTGTATGATACATACCAATACATTGTGATACTTTTAACCTCGATATAATTAAATTAATGCATTATGATTATTGGCAGGGATTAAAGTGATTTAATAGGGAAATAAAGAGGCTAAATGGAAGCATATTTGAGGGGATGATGAATTATTAGAGATAATTAAAAGGGGAATCCGAGAAAGTATGCATCTGTCCTTTTTCGAACTTAATTAATATAGATTACCAAACAGGAGAAAGACTACAAAACATCAACATCATTAGTAAGACAAGGCAGAGTTTTAAATGATGAGAAAAGGAAATTCCCGCCTTAAGTGGGGCATTGTTTCATTTGGAATTTGGGAATAAAAAAAAATGTCATACAATATTAGGTTTAAGGCTGACGCTAATGCAGATGTGGATAAAGCAGAGGGTCGCCTATCATAGTCAGCCTCGACATATACAAGACCTCTAATGTTTGCTTCTCTCTCTCAATTAGTGAGAAGGAATGTAATCAAACTGAAATTTGAAGCCAATATGTGGATAAAGAAACCCATCGATTCACCAATTCCCTTCCTTTTCCCTACCTTATGTTTCAAACCAAACACAGCCCAAAAGAAAAGAAAGAGGAGTAATGGGCCGGATGTGGGTTCAGTTCAGAATTCAGATATCTCCATTTTTTTCATCTCACACGCTTGCATTAATAAATTTCACGTGCAAAAAAGGATACGATAAGCAGTTGTCTCCCGTCGGTTTTGTTTTGGTTGTTCTTTCCTGTTCACTGTTCACTGATTTTCTCACTCTGCCACGGATTCAATGCCTTTCACGTTCGACATTGACCACACGGCGACCACACCTGCAATTTCCTAAATTCTCATAACCCCCCCGCCCTTCCCCAATTTCATCTTAACGTCCTTTCCAAATGTCTTATTTTCTCTTCAATCCTTGACCGTGCCCCGCCCCCCCCTCATCCATAATTTTTGTTTTTTATTCGTTTTTGCTGGACGATCTTGTGGTGTGGCAATCTGCGCAATCAGGAAGCTCAGTCAGACGTGGCGATTCACGTTGGCCCAGAGTTTGTCGACGTGACGTACGGTCTAGATAACGCCACATCATCATTCCAGAGGCTGAAAGCAATCTCCGCGGCTCGTCTACAGAAATTAAAACAAGCCTATATAAGACCTACTCCCGCTATTTCAGCTTCCTACCAGCAAATAACACAACAAATCAAACAGACTCTCTCTCTCTCTCTGCGCGAGTGTCTCTTCTCTATGGGTTCTTCTACTCCTTGTTCCGTGATAATCGTCGGAGCAGGGATTTCTGGTAAGTTAATCTCCGGCAACAACCTCAGTTTCCTGGCGAGAAATGTTTTTTATTTTTTTTCTTTCCTGCGAACCTGTGACGTATTTTCTTTCTGTTTTTGTGTTAATGAAGGCATATCAGCGGCGAAGGTATTGGCGGAGAACGGCGTGAAGGATTTGGTGATTCTTGAAGCGTCGGATCGTATCGGTGGAAGGATTAGAAAGGAGGATTTCGGTGGCGTGTCGGTGGAGCTGGGAGCGGGCTGGATTGCAGGCGTTGGTGGCAAAAAACCGAATCCGGTTTGGGAACTCGCCAATAAAGTCGGCCTGCGTACTTATTTCTCCGATTACAGCAATGCTCGTTACAACATCTACGATCAAAGGTTCGTATGTTCTCTATGTTGTCCTCTCTGCTAAATCTGTTTCTAGTTTTTGCTATAGTACGCCCGGGGGGGGGGGCGGGGGCAAGTTGTCACCTAAGTTCTTCAGTGCTATTTGGCGGTGGATCGTATTGTTTGAACGATACGTTAAAATTAAGTTTCGTATCGGCGATGTGAAGAGTGCTGATTTTGCATTTTGAGCTATTCGGAATTTGGTAACTCGGGCGATCTTAACCGAGTTTTGGAATCGGTTTCAGTGGGAAGATCATTCCAAGCGGTTTAGCGGCTGCTTCATACAACAAAGCGGTGGACTCTGCGATTCAGAAGTTGAGGATGCAAGAGGCGAAGCTTCGTGGCCTCTCCACGATAACCGAACCGCCCTTGTAATGTTTTTCCATTCTTGTTTTTTTCCCTTCTCTCGGTTTGTCTTTTTAAAAAAAAAAAAAAATAAGTCAGAAAATATTAGAAGTTTTGAGTGGGACGGACATTAACAACATATTTTGGCTGTATGGATTCTGTTCAGGACACCTAAAACTCCAATAGAACTCGCCATTGATTTCATTCTCCATGATTTTGAGATGGCCGGTTAGTTTTGGCTGGTTTCCTGCTTCATTTTTCTTCGAGTTAGCATTTCTCATTAGAGATGAAATTGATGAGAAAATGGCTCTTGTTTGCAGAGGTAGAACCGATATCGACTTACACAGATTTCGGAGAGAGAGAATTTCTTGTAGCAGATGAAAGAGGATATGAGTTCCTGCTCTACAAAATGGCGGAAAATTTTCTGTTCACCTCTGACGGTAAAATCGTGGACAGTCGTCTCAAGCTCAACAAGGTTAGATTAGATTGGATCTCTGTTTTCTTTTCCATTTTCCTCGCTGTCTGTCGCTCTGTTTTTTATAAATTTATGTCGTATTTTTGTTTCTTTGTAATCACACCAGATCGAAACAGAGTAATGCTTAAAAAATCAGAAGAAACGAAAAATTAGCAAAAAAAATCCGAAATTCTGTTTTGTATGCATGCACTCCTTTTCTCTAGAGTTTGACCCACTTTTGTGTTTTTCAGATAACGACATTTTCTTGAGAGGCATTAAAAGTTTAAAACAAAATAAAAATAGAAAAAGAACAGAACATATGTGGATTTTGGTCAACCCCTTTTTGGAGTTCCCATGTCTGTCCTTTTTTATTTATTATTTTACTGAGTTGTGTTTGTTACGCTTTTTTGATGAAAAAAAAAAAACTAGGATGGATTAATAATGAGTTTCCTCGATTATTTTCATTTTCTGATCTGGTACCTCCATTAAACTACTTGAATTTGTTTTGAATTCCTTTCTGGGTTTTGAAACAGAGATGGGAACCCTTCCTGTTCTTCATAAATATTCCACATTACATGCAACCTAAACTCAACCATAGTTTTTGGATTGTAATAAAGAAATACCGAATCCTTAAATAGTGTTTGTGTTTGTATTTTTAATTCAACAGATATTGGTATTTCAATAAAATTGGCATCCAATTGGTTTGTCTAGTAACTTTCACTTGACAAGATTGTCCATCTCCATCTGTGAGTCTGTCAAGTAGTAGTATCTGACCGTTCAGGAGTCAGGGCATCAAATGACTGAAAACTCTACTCATCCATACTCAGCAATCAGTATCTATCCTAATGAAATGGCTTCATATCCCTTTTTAATTAACTCTCTAACCAGTAACCAGTAATAGAATGTTGAGTAGCAATCACCAACTCTTAGGACTCAGGAGGCAGGGGAGCTCCCATTCAAGACTCAATACCCTATCCAGTCTTGGGGCAGTCAGGTCATTTTCCTTAGGTCATAAGCAAGCATAAAACAGAAGAACCTTTTGTTGTAGAACACTCCATCAAGAACAATGTAACCTTAAAACAAAAAAAGAAGAACAAAGAGATGGATGAAGATATGCAGAATTGGTAGTAAATTCTGAATGAAAAAAAAAATCCATTTCATTGCACGGAGTTTCTTGGTTTGACTGCCCAGAATTTCATGTTTTGAAGCTCGGTTTCTATATCCTGCTGCTATTTCTTTTCACACAGATTTGATGCAGGTTGTTCGGGAATTACACTACTCGAGAAACGGCGTTACCGTAACAACGGAGGATGGTTCCGTCTTCGAGGCAACTTACGTAATATTGTCCGTTAGCGTGGGCGTTCTCCAAAGCGACCTCATTTCCTTCCGACCCCCCTTGCCGGTACGTTCACTTTTCCGCCCTCACCCCACTATTTCAGCCGTTAGATGTACGTACTCTGTAGCGTGAACGCATCTGGCCGCCTGTAGGTTTATTGTGTCCCACTCCCACTGGAGTATCTCCTCGATGGGACCCATAAAACTGAGATCGTAATAATTATACAATAATGATCTTAGAGTAGAGGAGCACGGATTTGATGGATAGAGAGCCATCTCAATAAATATCTCCAACTGTGGTGATAACGTAAGCAATAGACCAGTTGTCTCGTGTGAAGGTTTCGATAAGATGCCATGGGTTACATGAACGCAATCCACAGTATTGAAGCAGCCACAGTAAGTATGCAGTGGAATTCAGAATTCTGAGGTGGAGGGCAGTCTACTATGATATAAATATAATTCAAGCCGTATATGTGGACAGTCAATTGTATGGTCTAGGACAGATTAGCTGGTACGACACGTGTACGGTGAATTATAGGCAAGGTGGATTGAATATATTGCCAGCTGTCACATCGTATAATGCTCTCTCTTAATAAGGAGCAAGAAATAAATCAACAAGGATTGTTTTTTCAGTTGAGTGGGTGGTTTGGTTTGATGTTTTGGTCCCCCCCCCCTCCCGATAATAAATCTAGTAATATTAGGAGAGATTATATTAATATGGTTGTCGTATATAGCGATTTTACTGTTTAATTTATTGGCTTTGTTTTCGGATAAGTAAATTAAAAAACATTGGATTGACAGAAATGGAAAACTGAAGCGATTATGAAGTGTGATGTGATCGTGTATACAAAGATCTTCCTCAAATTTCCGTGTAAGTTTTGGCCGTGTGGACCTGGGACGGAGTTCTTCATCTATGCTCACGAGAGGAGAGGCTACTACACGTTTTGGCAGGTTAGTTTCGCTCTCTTTCATTTATAGGGAAATCTCTATTTCCTGTCTGGTGCCTGGAGTAATGTGTGATGGATGATGATGCATGTTGATGATGATAATGAAGCAAGGTGCACGCATGATAGGTCCACCATAAGATCCTTTTTTTCACTATAAGAGGTGGTTAAGATGTCCTAAAAAGAAATGCTTTCATAAGTGACACTTGACAAAAGTATTGGGTCTCTTGCATGGACAAATGGATTGAATTCATGACATACAGAGAAGAAATTTATTGAAGTGAGAAATGATTTAACATAATATTATTTTGAAGATGATGCATGTTTATAGTGTACACGTAAGTTACTTAGGCACATGTATCCCGAGTCCTTTAAATCCTTCTGGGCCTCTCTTTATCTTTGTTTATATCTTGATTAATTAAGCAATCAATTTAATTATGTTTTTTAAGCTATGTGGGCCAATCCCATAATTCATTAGTTCCATGATTAAGATCATCTAGCTGGTTAAATGATCATCGATCTATGCAAATCCCACAATTTGATTTGTGTTCTGCACTGATTCGACGTGTTCTACGTGAGAGGAATCATCATTAATGACCTGGTTTTTGAGAATATAAAATCCCTTAAGCATGACATCTAAATTATTCAGAGTTGTATAAGTGACCCTCCAATGGATTTAATAATGATAATTGTATAAGCATGACATCTAATATATACAGGTATTCCTAGAAATTTGCCTCCTTACTGACTTAATTAATTATAAGAACTGCACCTGTAGCTTACTCTCTGAAACACTGTACTACGACCAAAATACTCATCCATGCCAACGTAGAAGATAAATAGATATTGTACATGTTGCCTATACCACTGTTTACATGTAATAAAAGTCACAAATTTTATTTTCCATATAATATGTCTGTGTGTTGTATATATATAGGAGAGAGAACCCGTAAAAAAGCAACTTGCATTTGTTTGGCTTATTGATATTGTATTGTTTATTTGCTCATAAAGTAGATGGCATTGGGTCACTCCATTGAGCTGGCAAAAATATTGATTGCACCATAAAATGCCAATCTCAAGAGACTCCTTGAACACTTCACCCTTTTTTCTTCCTTATTAAATTGTGTAAGATATTATAGTTAAGTACATTTTATTATTGTTAATGGGTATATCTTCTATAAAATAATGCTTGATCAAACATGTCATATTTTAATAAATTCAAATCATTGACTCTAATTTAATATGAAAACTTTGTATCCTTTTATAATCAACACACGTGGCCTCTTACACAGTTTTGGAGGGATCTTATTAGCTCCATTATCATAAGCTTATTTTATTGAATCCAAATAGTTCATTTGTAGCTCGTGATAACTTATTTTATGGGTTTGAGTTTAAATCAGAAAGCCATCAGTTGATCACCTACTCACCGAGCTGATCCACGCTGTCTTCTTTGATTTTTGCATGTCATCAGCATATGGAGAATGCATATCCTGGGTCCAACATTTTGGTGGTAACATTGACGAACGGAGAATCAAAACGTGTGGAAGCGCAAACCGATGAGGAGACGTTGAAGGAAGCAATGGGGGTCCTTAGGGACATGTTTGGACCTGACATACCAGATGCCACACAAATCCTCGTGCCCCGCTGGTGGAACAATCGATTCCAGCGTGGCAGCTACAGCAACTACCCCATCTTGGCTACCCATCAAGATTTTGCCGACATCAAGGTCTTCTATCTAATTAACAGCATCATATTCCTCCTATTATCAGAAAATTAATTCAATCTTACTTTTCTCTTCATTATTAATTGCTTGTTCAACGGATTCATTATTAACTCATTCTGTGGAAAGGTTGATCTCATATTGAGTAATCTAAGGTGGCCCCTTTACCCATTGATACCTTTGTCTATATATTCAGGGATTTATTATATCCCAATTAACAGGTCCAACCTAAGAGATCATGACTAGATCATTTTCCATTATCTTATCTTTTAACATTTTGTCTGGTTTTTTAAAGCTTTAGTATGAAAAAATCCATGGCTGGCTAGAAGAGGACACCTTAAATGAACCTTATTTTTCACAGCATCAATATACTAATCGATACTCTTCGTTTGTTATTATTATTATTCTCCAAGAACTCCTACACAATTATTGTTATGTGACTTGGACAAAATGTACTGATTTTGGTCATTCATTCAGCTATTGCAATTTGCACCCAATAGAAGTTGGTTGCTGATCTTAAGTTTCCTTCTTTTTTTCTTGTTGAACAGGCACCCGTGGTGCCCATCTTCTTCACAGGAGAACATACAAATGAGAGATTTAATGGTTACGTCCACGGAGGATACCTGTCAGGTGAGAACCAGATTATGGGTAAAAACAGAAAGAAAGAAAAAAGAGTTGTACTCAATGTTGTGCTGTTAAATAACGAAGGATTTTTAAGCAGGCATTGACACGGGCAACGCTTTACTGAAAGAAATGAAGAATGAGAAGGGAAGCGAAAAGGAGAGTCAACCATTTCTGCTAGAGCCCTTGCTCGCATTGACAGGGTCGCTTACATTGACTCAGACAGACGCAGTTTCTGGTCTCCACAAATGGGATATGGCTCGACAACTCTTTTCCAATGGAAAGCTTGTCAGCCACGAGGCAATAATCAAGTGACTATATGGGCCATGTTGTGAACCCAATTTTCATTGTTGGCCAAAGTTGGATATAAGTGGATTGACCAAATTGTCTCGAGTGCCCTTGGCCTTGGGCCCCAACTCACCCCCATCCAATCGTACCCACCAAGTGGAAATACGAAGACGCTAATGAAAGAAAAAAAGGAGAATAAGCAAAGACAGAGACATGGAGGAATGAAATGGACCCTGCTCTCTGTTTAGGGGGTGATTCTGGTCCGAGTCTGGGTTTGGGATTGAGGGAATGGATTTTTGGATAAAAGCATACAACGTGGAGGAAAAAGAAGGCATTATATTTTGATTCCATTTGCATTCTCTCATCATCAGGGTAGATTGATGCCGATGTATTGCATTTTTTTCTTCAGAGGTGGTTTTTTTTTTTTTCTTCATTATAAATGCGTATTTAATTTTTTTTTTTGGAAATTATCTTAATCAACTGGTTACTTTGTGAACTACGATGTCAGGGGATTAAAAGAAACAGAGCACACTGTTCTCTGAGTTTCTTGTTTAGCCCATTTATATCAAAATAGTGGTAATTTGAACATGGCTTCTTGTGATTTAAAAACGGGACAAAATACAGGGAAGAAAACGTACCACCTTAATTTAGGATTGCGGTGAAGAATGGAAAAGAGTGAAAAAAGGTAGAACATGAGGCTGAGGACCTTGGTTCATCTGGCTCAATCCCTTCCTTGGTGTCTCAGACCGTCCTGGTACATTGATCTAGTTATCTCAGCATAGTTAACCCAATTTATCTGGCTCACCTAGATTGGTCTAGTTTTTGTCGGACTGCAAACAGATTGCATTGAATTGAATATACCTAGGTCCAAATTTGATTCATTAATATTTGAATTTAATCTTTGTCATCAGATTTATATTGAACTTGGATTATATTTGGATATTGTATTCATCATCATCCATGCCTTATGCCAGCTATATGAAATTGGGCACATGAATCCTCTTTCACCGATTCATTCTATTTAAAACCATATCCACTGTTAAATAATTATTGTTTAAATCATTTCTTACTACTTTCACCCATGTCCTTTTTGGTCTACCCCTAACTCTTCTAACCCCTTCTACTTGTAACAAATCACTTCTTCTAACGGAGATTGTTGGTGGTCTTTTATGCAGTTTTGTGTATTGTATTATGATAAAAATTAAGTAAAAATAATGAGAATATTGGATGACCTGAAAATGAATTTTATGAATCTTGAACCTCTGAATTTTTAGTATAGACGGAATATTCAAACCAACTTTACCATTAGCCAATATGCATCTAATTTTGATAGATACAAGCATTAATACTATATAAAGCCAATATTTGCCTTAGGTTCCAAATAGATTAGGTATATGTTTGGCATCGATGTTGCAGATACAACATCATTTTTTGAGAAAATGATGCCTTTTTTTGTTTGGAAAAGTTGTTGTCAGGTAGGATGTTTCTTGGAGCAACAACAACACTTTTTGTTTGGTATCAGTGCTCCATATCTGTTTTTCAGCACTGGTACTCATTATAGGAAGTCCACGTCACTGTCACATCATGTCTTTATTGACAGCAATGAGCTCCAATTTGAGAAAATGTCAAATTCGACATTGCTCCAAACTATGCCTTCTCGATTTCCAAGGCATGGTTTGGAGCACTGCTTTTTATGGAAAAACGGTTCCAAACATATTGATGTTTCTTAGAGTACCGTTTTTTTTTTACGTAATGCTGATGCGTCACCGTTTTTTGGAACAACATCAATGCCAAACAAATGCTATAAAAGTCATATTTCATATATGATAATATTTAATTGCACACGTGTATAATATGTACTCTTTATGTCAGTAAATATAAGTGTTCACATATATTTTCATTTTCAGATTAGATCATTTCACGTTGTGGTAGATCATTATTAAAAAAGAGTTCATAATTTAAAGAGAATAAAGATGAAAAATACTTATAATAATAGCATTCAATGTTATATTTATGTTGATGGCAAAATTGTTATCTATCACACACATTCACGTGGAGGTCTGATCAATATAATAATAAATGAGGTGGTACTTAATGTACATTCTCTTGAAGATATCTGTACTATTATAAAATGTACAAATGAGAGGTGTGAAATTTTTATTAACTATAATGCCCACATATGTCTTAAGCAAAAATAAATAAATAAATAATGCCCATATATGTTATTTAGTCAATCTCTAATTAAGAAGGTTGAAAATGTAATTTCAATTAATGCTTTTCATCTCATTTAATGTCTTCTCATTAACTCCTATATTTAAGATATTAACTCTCATTCTCTCTTATTTAGTCACATATTTATGTTAATTTTTCACAAATAAATGCTACTAATTAGATCTATGTCCAATACTTTTAAAAGTATATATTTTAAAACTTACTCAAAACAAATTCATTCTTTATCCAAGTAATGGCTAAGCAATTCAACTATCCAAATCAAATTTGCCAACCCATGAAATCATACTTAGATAATAAATTTTCTAAATAGAAATAAATATAGAAAATTACAAAAATGTAGAAAAAATACACATTTATTATATTTTTTATTCATCAAATTAAAAAAAAAACAACTGTAATAAACAAGAATTATTTTTATTGATGATGAAAATGAAATACATAATCTAAAACTAACAAAAAATGAAATTATTTTCTAATTTGGCAGAGATCAATAGTTCAACTTTTGGGTCAAATCCATCAACCTTGAATGTTATAATTAAATAATAAAATTAATAAAATATAAAAAACAAACAAAAATAAAAAATACATAATTTACAAAAAAAAAACATTTGGGCACATGTATAATATTATATATTTAACATATTGAACAAAAAAGTGTAAATAACAATATTATTTTTACACACAGAAATATAAAAATTATATAAAAATTGAACACATCAATAACTCCATATTTACACTACTATTAAAAATATTAATAAAATTGTGGAACTTCCTTTTTACTAAAATATCCACTTTTTGAATTTAATCACTATTTAATTGTGAGGTTGAAAATGTAGTTTGAACTACAATTTTAACCTCATTCAACTCCCCCTATTTAAATCTTACATTTTTTTATAAATAAACAAAAAATTATACACTAAGAAGATAAAACATGACAAAAAGAAGAGTTCAGCCAAATAGGTAGGCCTACCAATGATACCCAAAACTTTGTAGTCCAATATAAGGTGCTTACATAATCAGATTTAGATTTTGTAGTCTACATCTAATTAATAATAAAAACAAAAAATACATAAATTTTATAAAAAAGTTTGTATACATTATTCCTATCATTATCATCACCTAAAATTGTCACATACAAAACACGTACGTACTTACTAGTATTGGAAACAAGTTAATTGGGTGAATTAGAGGGACTCCTTATATTTAGGGTTTTGAAACTTTTAGTTCCTTAATACTATACTATTTTTTTAACACTTAGCCCCAAATAACGTAGAACACCTTGATGATGTAAATGGTAAACAAACAAGAAATCATTTCGTGCTTTAGATAAATTGAAATTAACTTTGATATCACTTGGATAATTGAGATTAATCCTAGGAGACCACTTTAATAGCTTAGATCCATTGACTTGATTTGATAGCTCATTTAGATGAAACAAAAATTAGTTGAAATTTCAATAAATGATTTGGATAACTGATATTAATTAACTAATATTAAGAGACCACTGTAATGGTAAAGATCTTTGGCTTACTTTGTTGTACATCACTTTATTTGACATATATTTTTTAGAAATTTTGATGCTATACTCAAATGGCCAAGACGAATTAAAATCTTGGTAACCATTTTGATAACTTAGATTTTTTTATTGATTTGATGTATTGTTTAAAGAAGCCATATTTATTGAAAATATGGCATATCACTTGCATGGGCCTTTGATGCCCTAGACCTTTGGATTGTGTACATCATTTGGATGGGCAGGATTTGAGAAAAACTTGGCACATCATTTTGATGCGTGGTTGTAATTGGTTGGTTAACCTAGGATGCTATTTGTATGAGCCAGATTTTAATTTGGTGTTATTTGGTACACCACTTTATGTGGTTAACATTTTTTTCAACAAAAAATGATAATTTACTTGAATTGTCAAGATCAATTGAAATCATGGTGCATTTCTTGGATGGGCAAGATTAATTCTTTGCTCTTAGGCATGGTTTTTAAAACCAACGCGGTGATCGAGCCGATTAGGGGTTCAGTTATTGGGTTGAGCGGTCTAACTGTTCGAATCAATGCTCAGCCCGTTCTGACAAAAAAATAAAAGAAAAATTAAAAAAATAAAAATAAATAAATAAACGGTCAGAACGGTTCGAACGATTAATTGCTCGATTCCGTGGTTTGTTGACAAAAACAACGGTCTTGAGGGGAAATCCAGTTTTTGGGGAAAATGGAACCGGTCACTTGACTGATTCCCGATTTTTCCGGTCTGGTCCGATTTTGAAAACCATGCTCTTAGGGGACCATTTTGATAGCCTAGTTTTTTTGTGTCCATTTGGGGCATTTTCTGGATGTCCCAAATTAGCTGAATCTTAATACATCATTTGGATGGTTAAGATTACGACACTGCTTTTAAGAGACCACCCTGATGGCCTAGATCCATGTAGGGTTGCAACTTGGGCCAGGTTAGCATGAACCAAAATTGGAATGGCAACAGGGTAGGGATCATATTCTCAGTCCTCAACCCCAATCCCCATTGGGGATAAAAATTGTCTTCCACCCTCGACCCCTGATGGGGATGGGTTCCCCACAGGGACCTAAATCCCCAAATTTTTTTTAGTTGACAGTTTTTTTTTGAAAAATAAATTTACTTAAAATAAATATAAATTTTAAAATATAAAAAATATTTTAAATATATTTATATATATAATAGTAATAGTAATTGAATCAATTTTTTGGCTATGTATCAATTTTTCGTGCTAAGTACCTCGTCATTTGGTCTGCTTCCAAGTGGCTGATGACTCAGAGGCTGAAGTGGAGAACTTTTGCTGGATGAGGACCTAGATGCCGGGTTGACCAGGCCGAGCTGGGGGCAGGTTAGGTGCCAAACTGACGGGGCCGAGCTGCATATTAGGTGATGAGCTGACCAGAGGGCCGAGTTGTCTATTAGGTGCCGAGCTGACCAGAGTGCAGAGTTGCCTATTAGGTGCTGAGCTGACCAGAGTGTTGAGCTGCCTATTAGGTGCCGAGCTGACTAGAGGGCCAAGCTGCCAATTAGGTGTCGAGCTGACCAGAGTACCAAGCTGCCTATCAGGTGTCGAGCTGACCAGAGTGCCAAGCTGCCTATTAGGTGCCGAATTGACCGGTGGCGAGCTGGATTGATTGTTGAGCTTCGTAATTCTTTAGAGACCTGCAAAGAATCAATGTCAGAGGACCCGGGATGGCTAATCCGGCGAGGTCGCTCCGATGATTAAGTCAGTACTCTCATAGTAGACTACGAGCTAAAAAACATAAAAGTATGAGAGCTAGAATATGCTTACTTGCCCCCCTCATGTCATTGGGGTTGGTGCCTTTATATAGGCATTGTTTGGCGTGGGCTTC